CTTTTTTTTTTTTTTTTGTCTCCTTTATCTGGTTTTTGTATTTGGGTGTTGGTGGTCTCAAAGAATGAGTTTGAAAGATTACCGTCCTCTGCAAATTTCTGGAAGAATTTGACTAGGATATCTTTTAGCTTTTCTTTACATTTTTGGTAGAATTCAGCTATGAAGCCATCTGGTCCTGGGCTTTTGTTTGCTGGAAGATTTCTGATTACAGTTTTTATTTCCATGCTTGTGATAGGTCTGTTAAGATTTTCTATCTCTTCCTGGTTCAGTTTTGGAAAGTTATACTTTTCTGAGAATGTGTCCATTTTTCCACGTTGTCCATTTTATTGGCATATAGTTGGTAGTAGTAGTCTCTTATGATCCTGTGTATCTCTGTGTTGTCTGTTGTGATTTCTCTGTTTTCCTACTAATTCTGTTGATTTGATTCTTCTCCCCCTTTTCTGGATGAGTCTGGCTAATGCTTTGTCTATTTTATTTATCTTCTCAAAGAACCATCTTTTACCTTTGTTGATTTTTGCTGTGGACTCCATACACATTTACTCTTTGAGTAAACTTTTGTCCTGACTCCCTGCAAAATTTAAGAGTTTGTTAATCCACACTGATTAACCTCAATCCACTTGGCAGAGATCCCTTTTCCCCAGGATTTTATATGTTGTGAGATGGATTAGGTTCCTTGAAAATAACTATTAAGATAAAATTTTTTATTGGTTCATATAATTGTCCTGCCCGGTTTCTAATGTTCCTTGAATTATTTAAGATGGAAGTGTTTCACATAGAATTTTAGAAATTTTATTAGTGTCTGTCCTGTGTCTCAGTGCTTATCACCTCTGGGTAGGTTTTTTTTTTTTTAGACACACAGTAGGTCTTTGTTGCTGGCTCAGCTTTCTTCCACTTGAAGTCTGAAACCTTCTGAGTTTGGTGGCTAATTTGTTGTCACTTGCAGAGTCTACAGCACAGGCTCAGTACTTGTGGCCCATGGGTTTAGTTGCCCCTCGGCACGTGGGATCTTCCTGGATCAGGGGTTCAGTGTGTGTCCCCTGCATTGCCAGGTGGCTCCTGAACACCTGTACCCCTAGAGAAGTCTCTCTGCTGAGCTTTCTTTCTTTGCTTTAATTCTAATTTTCATTTTAAAGGTTGGCTTCCCGGGTCAGCCCGAAGTGAACATAGCTTCATTGTTTCTGAGACTATTATTAGGTGTCCTCCACTCTTCCCCAGGAGCATACTGGACATCTTCCAACACCTGCGGGGCATGGGTCTCAACTTGCGGTGTCCCATCTTTTTGCATTCTTATACAGTTCATGGAGTTATCATGGAAAGACTACTGGAGTGGTTTGCCACTCCCTCCTCCAGTGGATCAAGTTCTGTCAGACTCTCTACTATATTTGTCTGTCTTGGGTGGCCCTTCAGGAAATGGCTCATAGCTTCATTGTTACCCAAGCCCATTCAACTCACATGCCAGTGATCCACAAAGTGGGCATGGCTTAGTTTTCATCCACTTCTGTTCCGTTCTCTCAGAACAATTCAAGTGATCAGGCTCACATGTCTTGCCCTTGGAGACCTTTGTATGCATGTAACAGACATTCAAAGTGCGTATAGCTTACCGTGATCCCTGGGTGAGCAGGGTTCTATTCTGTCTTTCCTGTCACTCCTGTAGCATTTCAGGTGCACACAGCCTTCCACATCCCCAGGAGTCTACCCAAGGTCTCCAGAATGTTCTAGAACTGCCTCTTCTTTCCCATCTCCCTTAGGCACTTTCATGGTCTCTCGTCTGGTCCAGGGGCATGGCCATTGTG